ACACACACACACACACACACCCACACACACACACACACAAAAAGACGCACACAAATAAACAAACACACACACACACACACACACACCCACACACACACACACACAAAAAGACGCACACAAATAAACAAACACACACACACACACACACACACCCACACACACACACACACAAAAAGACGCACACAAATAAACAAACACACACACACACACACACACACCCACACACACACACACACAAAAAGACGCACACAAATAAACAAACACACACACACACACACACACACCCACACACACACACACACAAAAAGACGCACACAAATAAACAAACACACACACACACACACACACACCCACACACACACACACACAAAAAGACGCACACAAATAAACAAACACACACACACACACACACACACCCACACACACACACACACAAAAAGACGCACACAAATAAACAAACACACACACACACACACACACACCCACACACACACACACACAAAAAGACGCACACAAATAAACAAACACACACACACACACACACACACCCACACACACACACACACAAAAAGACGCACACAAATAAACAAACACACACACACACACACACACACCCACACACACACACACACAAAAAGACGCACACAAATAAACAAACACACACACACACACACACACACCCACACACACACACACACAAAAAGACGCACACAAATAAACAAACACACACACACACACACACACACCCACACACACACACACACAAAAAGACGCACACAAATAAACAAACACACACACACACACACACACACCCACACACACACACACACAAAAAGACGCACACAAATAAACAAACACACACACACACACACACACACCCACACACACACACACACAAAAAGACGCACACAAATAAACAAACACACACACACACACACACACACCCACACACACACACACACAAAAAGACGCACACAAATAAACAAACACACACACACACACACACACACCCACACACACACACACACAAAAAGACGCACACAAACAAACAAACAAACAAACAAGACACACACACACACACACACACACACACACACAAAGACGCACACAAACAAACAAACACACAGACACACACACAAGACACACACAGACAAACAAACAAAAAACAGAAATACACACAAAAAGACGCACACAAACAAACACACAAGACACACAGATAAACAAGCACACAAAAGACACACACACACACCTCTCCTCTTCCCCGTCTGCGTTCAATGGGATTCGTCACACTGTTCTTGACTCTTGACTCTCCATGCTTCCTACATTTGTGGGCACTTATTTCACAGAGGACGCTATGCATTTCAAACAAAACGCTAAATGAGTTTCACTATTGTTTCCACAAAAGCACTGAAAGTCTAAGTGGTCATGAGAACTAGAGCCTAATCGCCAGTGATTGACCAAAAACAGCCCAAAAGGGCTCATTGTTTAGCTATTTATAACAGACAATAGAGACCTGCGAAATCAAACGCTACAAACTCACTACATAGTGCTCACGTACACATTAGAAACATTACAATGAGTCCATAGATCAGCTAAGATGCATCTGTAACTGACAGATTTCAGGGCTGACAGCACAGGTGTGTGCTCAATACTTGTGCCCTGTGTGTGAGTTGTGACGTACCCATGAGGCATTGCAGCAAACGGCAGTGACAGCAGGTCGTGAGCTGCATCTGCTGGACCGCAACCAGGTTCAGATTGGATTGCTAGCATATCACTTACAGCACACATATATATATATATATAAGATTATATATCAATTCATTAAATATATATAAAAATAAATGATAATTTAAAGACAATTAGTTAAAATTTATACACACATACACACACATTTCATATTAATAATTATTTAAATAAATTGTTATTTAATAAATTATTAAATATTTTTATGTATTATAATTTATTTATTATTATAATGGTATATAATTACATGTAATTATAATTTTAAAAATTTGTTTCTTATTTTACATGAAGTAAGAAACATGTATTTTTAGCCATTTTATTTCCTTTTAGAAAATGGACATTTACACCAACACATATATCTAGTTATCTGAGCAAAAAAAATAAATAAATAAATAAAAAACTGACAGTCTAATACACTGCAATGCATACAACATCCCTTTACATTGGCCAAAATGTGCAGTATCTCCATGCATGACATACAGCAGACATACTGGAGAACAAGCAGCACAGAAGTATGCTTTTCCAAACATAGCCATTACTTATGTCAAGTCAAGTCAAGTCACCTTTATTTATATAGCGCTTTTAACAATACAGATTGTGTCAAAGCAACTGAACAGCATTAATTAGGAAAATAGTGTCAATAATGCAAAATGACAATAGTAAACACAAATTTTTCAGTTAAAGACAGTTCATCATTGAATTCAGTGATGTCAACATCCAGCTCAGTTTAAATAGTATCTTTGCAATCAAGTCAACGGTATCGCTGGAAATGAAGTGTCCCCAACTAAGCAAGCCAGAGGCGACAGCGGCAAGGAACCAAAACTCCATCTCCATCGGACAGACATTACTTATCAAACGTCCAGTGAGATCTACAGCTGCTAGGTCATTTTGCAAAGCACATCAACAAATTTTTGTGGCTTGTGTAGGGCGTTTGCACGCTTGGGAATGAGGTTTGTTTGTTCACTGGGAGGTTTTTTCCCCCATCACTGCGGAATGCATGAAATCCACAGGCTGTATAAAGCAAAATTCCTTCACGATTCCACACATTCCAGCCTCTCGCTAGCTAAGAAAAACACAACATGGCTCACAGTTGACGGCCAACCAGCTGAGCATTCTGGGACACGTGAATGCGTGCGCTTCATCCCGAACCTTGGAATCCGCTGAGTCACACATTCCCAATACAGCAGTGGGCCGCACATTCCCTCGGCTTTTGTTAGGAGCGTCTGTTTATGGTAAAACGTGCTGCAAATGGTTGGAATTGCTGCATGGAATTTCATATGGGACTATTGTGGATACATGCACGTCAACTCCTGGTCTTGGCTCATCCGGATCGGAATTAGTCTTGAATGTCGTCATGCTGAGCACCACATCCAGTCTGTCAGTATAATTTCCTGCTTCCTGCATATGAACTAACCATGAGCTAATCCAGCCATTAGCAATTCACTGAATCTGAAGAATAACCCGTCATACGTCACCCTGAAACACACACACAAACGGACACGAAACTCTGACCGCAGGTGAACGAGGGCGGCTCAACCTCCAGAAATCTTCTTATCCTTTGTCATTGCAGTTTGGACACCGAGTGCCTGATCTTTACAGACACAAAGTCACATAAGGTTCTAAAATTAGCATGTTGCATGAAAACACTGCGTCACCTTGACCTGATGACTTAATCCTTTAAACCCAGAGAACTCGCCATTAGCTTATATAATTACCAACAACAGCAAAGTAGTCGTTACTGACAATCAACTAAACGAAAATCAAGTTACCATTTAGGAAAAGTGCTTAAATCACAAACTTAGCATTTTACTTTTAAGCAGACAAGTAATCCACACGACTCCAATCCCTCAATTAACGTCACGTGAATTCAAATCCATAATGCATAATAATAACACTTCCTCCACTGAAAAAAGTTATCTTGTCTGAATCAGGAGAGAAATCTGCACAGATCAAGCACTGTTTACAAGCCAAAACAGCTCTAAACAAATATGTTGTGTGGATTTTGATGTGAGAGACAACAGGGGATGGACTTTTTTTATGGACTCATATTTTGGCCAGAAGTGATGGTTTAATGTTAAAATATCTTAATGATGGATTTGTTTCTTACAAACCTGCAGCTTTTCACTTCTCAAGTCATTAACTGATGGACTGGAGTGGTGTGGATTACTGTGATGTTTTTATCAGCTGTTTGGACTCTCATTCTGACGGCACCCATTCACTGCAGAGCATCCACTGCTGAGCAAGTGATGCAATGCTACATTTCTCCAAATCTGTTCCCATGAAGAAACAAACTTGTTTACATCAAATGTTGTATTTGTTAATATTATTTAATTAACTAACAAACAATGAACTGTTGTTTTTAATTAACTAGCAATAATTAATAAATACTGTAACACACATGCTCATTGTTAGTTCATGCATTAACTAATGGAAACTTATTGTTTATCAAATTTACTAAAACAAATTAATAAAAAAAAGCAAAAAAGCGAAGTAAAATGACATGCACAGGTTATTGTGCACACTACTGAGCCATGACTGAATTAGCAAATCTACTTTTGATGAACCAGTTCATTGAAATGACACAGTTACAGTACAATAAATAATGGATCATCCCTCAGGGAGAGAAAAATACTGCTCAAAAACAATATGTCTTCAGTTTGTGCCCTGCTACGCTAGCTAGTCTGATGAGAAGTGTAGCTAATAGTTAAATTAGTGAAAGAACAAAAAGAACAGGAGTGAGAATTGTCTATATTTACATTTATGCATTTGGCAGATGCTTTTATCCAAAGCAAATTACATTGCATTTAACACATATTTGATCAGCTCATGCATTCCCTGGGAATCAAACTCATGATCTTAACATTGCAACAACGCAGATATTCACTTAAAGTCTCAATGGAAACTGATGGGTACAGCTGAGAACATGGCAGGTGCGCTGACTGCAGCAAACATTGTGCGAGAAAATATATAAATGTTTTCATAAAAATAAGAAGCAGCACAATCTTGTTTTCATTGATAATAATCAGAAATGTTTCTTCAGCAGTAAATCAGAATATTAGAATGATTTCTGAAGGATCATGTGACACTGAAGACTGGAGTAATGATGCTGAAAATTTACAGGAATAAATTATATTTTACAATATATGAATCTAGTCTTAAACAGCGTAATTAGAAGAACCCAGCTCTGTGCATCTGGTCGTGTCACATTTTATGATTTGGTTTATTATTATCAACTAGTTTATGGTCAGTTGTCTCACCTATCTGCAGCAGTACAGGCGTGACCAGCGCCGTCTCCATGGCGTAGCAGAACTCTCGTCCGAACATGACGGCGCCATGCATGATCCACTGACGCAGCGGGATGCGGTCTATAGATCCCTCGCTGACCGACTCCTCCTGACTCTCCAAATCCCGCCCTCCAGCCCCACCCGCTCCATTAGCCCCGCCTCCTCCGTCCCGTTTCTCCACAGGTGTCACCACGGCGGCCTGCATCTGCACAGCGTCGCCTTTCATTGATAATAATCAGAAATGTTTCTTCAGCAGTAAATCAGAATATTAGAATGATTTCTGAAGGATCATGTGACACTGAAGACTGGAGTAATGATGCTGAAAATTTACAGGAATAAATTATATTTTACAATATATTCACACAGAAAACAGTCATTTTAAATTGTAATAATATTTCACAATATTGCTGTTTTTATTGCATTTTGATCAATTAAATGCAGCCTTGGTGAGCAGAAGAGACTTAATTCAAAAACATAAAAAAATCTCAAGGAACTTTTGACCCACTCTAAAAAATGCTGGGTTGTTTCAACCCTACATTGGGTCAAATATGGACTAACCCAACTGTTGGGTTAAATTTTTACA